GAAATGAAAGTGATTAACAGTTGTTTGTTTTACAGGGATTGTTTGGACTGTTTAATATCCCTATCAAAGGATGCATTATTTGTTGAACAGTCCTAAAAGCAAATCAAAGAGAAACTTGAAGAATGTTGCTAATCCTTTGTCACTCTAAGGATGACATCTAAAAGCCAGTGAAAAGCCGTGCTTTGCCCATTGAAACAAAAAGTCACAGAATCATATTCTCATTTACATTGGGAGAGACCCCTAAGATCATTGAGTCCAACCATCAACACAGCACTGCCAAGCCCAGCTCCCAAATCAACACCCAGCACACAACTACATCCCCAGGTGTCACATCCACATCCCTGAGGGACAGCATTAGCTTTTCCATGCCCTTGGCTGCTTGATCTCAGCCCAGCTGTGTCTTTGAGCCACGAGACACCTACAGGAACATTACACAACTGAAGGTGAGTGTGCTTGTGTCAGCAGAGAAGCAGCTTGCCCCAGTCTGTGGCTACCAGCCAGTTTGGTGGCTGACACTGGGATGGGTCAGGGCTCTGAAGGCTGCAGGAGCATGGAGATGCTCCCATGGGCAGCGTTATTTCCACAGCAGCAAGTTTCAGGAGGGACAGTGAGAGCCAAAGTTACAACTAACACAGTCAGCAGTGTTTGATCAGTTAATGAATGCTCATGATTCCAGGGGACTGCATTTCACCCCCCCAAAATCCTCTTCTGGCCTGTTATCCCCCTGAGACTAATTGGCTCTACTTTATTAAAGACTTCAACTGCAAACTTCATCTACTGGAAGAAAAGTCATATGGCTCTTTCTAATCCTGTTCTGTGACTTGCAAAATCAGAAGAAAAGAAAGAAGATGTTAAAAATATCAAGTAAAATCTAAAGTTGGAACAGAACTGGCTTTTATGTGTTCAGTCAAAACTGAGTTCACTAGATACAGTAGTATTTCTTTGAATGGAACAAATAAGCCTCAAAGATTTTATAATGCACACATTTGTACAATGCAGTCTATAAAAATGGGAATGAGAGATGTCATTCCTAAACACAGACCACAGGACACTTTTCTCTCAACTCCAATAACAAGGTATAATTTTCTATCTGATCCTATTTGGCTTTTCCATAAGGAACTGTAAAAACCTCTCTCAAAATCCTGGCACCAGTGTGTGCAATAGGAATCCTAACGCTGGCTCTGCTGGAGCAGAATTTCCCTCTTCAAGAATAAAGCCTTGGGAGGAAAAAAATGGTGTGTTGGTTTTGTGGCTGAGCCAGCTATTTAACTCCACGAGCCAGCAGAAACAAAGGGAAACCAAATAAAACTACAAAGCTACAAATGCTCCTTTTGGACAAGTGAGCCAAAAATCTTTTGACATTTATGGCTCTACCCATCCCTACCTGATAAGTCATACAGAAAGCTGCAACTGCAGATATCAGCAGTCATGGAAATAAATTTTATTATGTTGTATGTACAGTACTAGTACAGTTAGATACACTAATCATGGGAGGAGGGGAGGTTGCTATTTTTTTCCTGTCCCATATGGTAATAATTTTGTATGATTGAACTGTTATGAGCTAAATAAAAGTACACATTAACTGTAAGATACATTGCAAATACATTAAATCTTCCCTGGAGTTTTAGCAAGTACGTGCTTTTTCTATCATGCATTTGGAATTATTATTACTGGGCCATAGGATTTATAAATAGATTTGGCTTCTTCTGCAATACTTTATGGGCAATTATTTCAGAAATGAAGATGCAGAGCCATGGATAAATAAAATAATTGCAGCTGATCAGGCTTTATTTACTGCTGTCACATTTCCCTGACTGCTACACTTCCCTCATTTGCTCCACTAGCCTGAATCAATGACCAGATGAAGAGCTGTCAGTTAATGTCAGACACAGAGCACAAAGGATGCCAAAGGCTGATTCTCATTTCCCCATTTCCAAATTCTGCCTGGGCTCTTCCGGAGCTGGCTTGCTCCCTGGATAAATTCAGTTTGGAATTGGGAGGCTGGGAAAGGGCAGAGCCAGTCAGAGGAGCTCTGCAGTGTGTTCAGCAGTTTTCCAGGGAGCACATTTTGCTGTGGCTGCCCTGTGGAAGGCACTGCCAAAGGTCTGGAGGGCTCCCCTCCTGTGAGCAGATGCCCAGCTGTGTCAGGGAAGGGCTGGCATGGTCTCTGCTATCTGCTGCAGTGCCACCCCAACAGGTATTAATTCAGTTTGGAAGGCACTGAGTACAGCTTTGTGTGGCAAAAACAGCTTTCCAGGCAATTTCAGCAAAACAAATCCAAGCAGAGCCTGGGACTGGCCTCATGTCTACAGAATAGCCTCCATGTACCTCACAGCATCAGCTTTCAGTATTTGAGATCTCAGACAGGATGGGAAACTCTGGATTATCAATATTCCTCAGGATCAGGCTTGAAGTCCTACACTCAGCCCTATCTAATAATTGTGTTACCTGGGGTTCAGGAAGGAGGTTGCTTGTCTGAAGAGGCTTATCAAGTCATGAGAAAAAAAAATGTAATTTCTGCTGCTTTGAAAAGCCACAGAGCTGATAACACAGAAACAAGTGAAATGTGTAGGATGCACCAAGTGGAGACAACCTGAGTACCCACCAATGGCTTCCTTCAATGAGCTCATCTCAGGAGTAGCCACTAGGATGACATTTCATGGCTCTAACCTACTTAGAAAAAAATTGTCTGCCAGCCCTGATGAGCAAAAATGTCTCTGAGCTACCTACAGCCTCCTGTCCTGGGAAGGAACATCCAGCTTTGTGAGGTCTGGATAAAAAGGGTACCCTACAGGAAAGGGGAAGCACAAGAAACATCATGGAAGTTGTCAAGGACCTTAAGATGATCCTACAAGCATAAGTCTCATAGATTTAAAGCCTTTTAATTTATTTTTTTTTTTAGTTTCATTCTAGGCTGCTTATTTCTGTATTTTGTATTTCTGCAAACCTCTCTAAGAACTTCATCAACCACAGTCCATAAGGTGGAGAAAGAGGCCAGTGGGACCAGATGCCAAAGGAGCTGGGAAGATTTATGCTAGCTGAGCATCTGGCTCCCTGTTCTCTGTTATCAGAGTGGAGACAAATGCCTGCAAACACCCTCATTCCAAACCACAAATGTGCTCAGCCCCACTCAGCACAATTGCAGCAGTGCTGCTCCTGGAAGGTGCTCTGCCTGGAAAAGCAGCTGCTGAGTGCCCCTTCCAGGGGTTTATGCAGTGCAGAGAGCAGTGAGAAAAGAGAGGGTTGCTGCCCCTCAAATCAAGCCAAGGGAATTATTAAGACATCATCATTTTCTGGTTTTGTTCTAGTGGGTGGTAGTAATTGCTTCTACACAGGAACGTGGCTACACCTCTGTTGTCATCCATCACCTTGCTGGGGCTGTGCAGTGTGCAGTATTTTGATTTGACCTCATTAGCACTCCCAGAATCACAATGTCACAGCAATGACAAAGGCTGAGATTATCTGCATTTGAGGAGATGCAGAAGGAGCATGTCACACACTATGTGAAAATCCAACAGTGCAACACGACTCTGCCAAATACTCAAAGGCAGCCTGAATAATCCCCCTGGCTCTTGATTTTGCATGTGGGACAAGAAATGATTAGGAATTGTGCCTGTATGCATTAAACCTGCAGATAAAGGGGATGGGCTCATGCCCTGGTGATCTAAACCCTCAGGGAGAGCACAGGGAGAGGAAGGGCAGGTGCTGGAGCAGATGCTCTCTGCTACCACCTTCCCTCTGAGCTGCCAGCATCATCTGTGCTTCCTCCAGCCTCTCCCAGGCAGCCAGCAATCCCCTGGAAACGTGGAGAGATTTGTGTGCCATTTGGGAAATGACACAGAGGCATTTGGCCTTTGCAGAAATGCCTTGTGCTCTCTGGAAGGTCACAGGATTTTCTTGTGATTCCCAGGATAGAGGCACATAGGGAGGGCTCCTGCTCAAACTTGGGTTGAAGGAAGGTCAGACCAATTTTTTGACCCTTCTGGCAGTCAAATAAAATCAAGTCAAATCTGTACTTGTCTGAAGTCAATCTACAACAAAATCTGTCGTGGAACAGGGAATCTCTCAGCCTTTAACCAGCAGCTCCCCCCTGAGCTGTGCTCCCCACTGCAGCTCTAACACATATTCCAGACCTCCCATTCTCAGCTACTTTAGTCTTCTATGGATCATCTTAGAGGAAATTAACTCAACTTCCCTACAGTGGGAACAAAAAAAGGAAATGAATTGATGATTCCAGTGGTACCCTTGACACAGATCCTGAATAGCTCCTTAAACACTTTGCAGCCCTGGGGGTCTTTGCTAAACCCTCTACAACAAGCACAGAGTCATTTTCCCCCTTACAACACAAACACACAGGTCAGGATTCAGGAGTCTGTTTTGTATCTGAATAATTTCTCTCATCTCAATGGGATCCAGGCAGGCACAAATCAAGGCTGCATAATCCCGGTCCCTCCCTTTCTCTCTAGAGTCATTACCTTGCAGTACCACTCTTGGATAAACTCATTTTCACAGACTCAGCATAGACCCAATGAAAGGACTAATACAACTCTTTAATGCAAACAACAATAAATCAACTGATTAAATTCCAATTTATCAGACAAATACTCTTTAGCTCTTCCCAAAGCTGTTCTGAATCATCTCTCTTGTCTGGCCATGCTCCAGAGGAGCACTGACACTAGATAAAGCTCAGACCTATGGAATAAGTTCACATAAGATAGAAATGCTGAAAACATCCTGTATTTATGACAGGAGATTTCACAGAGATCACAGTGAATAACATTCCTGAGAAGACTGTAATGTCTCTGAAGCCTCCTCAGCATTTCTTCCCAAGACCAGCCTAGCAGGACAAGGGCTCAACAGACCCTGGAGCTCCAGGCTCAGCAGCAAGGCTCAGGAACCACACATATTAACCTTGGGAGATCCTACAGCAAAATTTAACAGCTGAGAAAATGGCTGCTCCACCACAATTCCACTTTAAATCACAGGCTTTTTTAACTTACTTCATTGGTTTGAACAATGCTTGTCCATAGTTCTGGAATGTCATGATCAGCTTCAGCTGGGTGCCTCCTGATTTCATTGCTGTGGGGAAAAAAACACAAAACAGTTTTAAAATGAGACATGTGGACCTACTGACACTCATTTTCCTGGAAACCAAATCATATCTGCTTTTCTCTGTATCAGTTCAGCACTGTGACATCAGAGTGATCAGGGTCACCCCAGCTGGGCAGCAGATTTTTCAGCAGAGTGCAGGGAAGGGCATTGAGTGATGACCAGGGCTAAACATGGATTGCATTTCCTGAAAATTTTTGCCTTTTTCTGGCCATCATGGGCTCCATAAGCACCCCAGATGAACAGTATCCATAGGAGCAGAGAATTGGAAGGGCTTTGTGTGCTGACCAGGACTAAACAGGGATTGTATTTCCTGATAATTTTTGCCTTTTTCTGGCCATCATGGGCTCCATAAGCATCCCAGATGAACAGTACCCATAGGAGCAGAGAATTGGAGTCTTGTTTTCTCCATCTCTTGCTTTTGGAGTCCCTTTTAACAAGGGACTCACACTGGGAAAGGAGATGGGGCGCTCTCAGAGGCAGCTGCAGCTGGGACGTACGGCCCAGTGCACAGCAGACAGCTCCTTAATTAAAAGTATGAGCAGATACTGTAGCAATCTCTGATCTCTGCTGTGATTTTAATAACTGTTCCTGAGCAGCAGAGATATGTAAATTCCCCTCCTCTGTGCACAATGGAAATGTAGCCAAGCCCAGCCATCACCTTCTAGGGATTCCAAGGTGGTTCATGCATGAGAGCCTGGCCTGGCTGGGAGGGCACAGGAGGACAGTGAAGGTGACAAGGACAGTGACTTTGCTCATCTCCCAGCTGGGAGCTAATGGGAATTTGATACTCATTCATACCATTCTGAAACACTTGGACAATGCCACAGTAACAGCTGAATTATAGTGTTTTTAAAATTAGGCTTTTTTAAATAACATATAAAAGAATTCATAAAAATGCATTTTACTTGATGATAAGGCCACTTAAAAAAGATAAACATAAGCTTCAGAAAACAGCTGCTTTTCTGCTGCCTCATTCACAAGCTTCCTAATAAATGAAATGACCTATAGCCTAACTCCTAAATGCACCTTTGTGCTGGGGAGGCCAGCAGGGCTGGGTGGATGAGTCAGTCTTTTAAAGATGCTGTCTAGGAATCATCAGATAATCAATCCCTTTCTTTGCAGTTCTGACAAAAGCCATGTCAACTGGAGAACTACATAAATGTCAAGTTATCTTGCTCTGTAGATTCTGGCTGAGGGTTGCCCTTGTTCCACCTATGCAGCTTGTACATGTTTTTTCTCTAACCAATGCCATTAGCTGCATATCTTTTTAATTACTCATCTCTGTGCCTTATCACTGATAGGTCATCAGCTCACTTTCAGCACTTGTAACCTATATTTTTGCAACAAAATGCTATGTAAATCTGGTCAATGTAATTACACTTCTCCTAGAATAAAATCCCTCCTCTCCTGCTGTTTTGCTGATCCCAGCCTTCTCTTGCCTTTCCACTTTATCCCAAAGGAACAAATAAATAATTAGAAATTAAAGGGCATTAAGCAATTTGCACTGAGCAGGTAAAGCAGAAGCAGAGGGATTTCCTGGATTAAACTCCCTCCCCTGTGCAGGACAGGTCAGTTGAACTGCACCTGAGGGCAGGAGGAGCACAAGGCATTTTTCATGCCCAGCTCAGGGCCTGAGGACAATGAGAAGCAGAAACTTTCCAGCCCAAACCCTGCCTGTGGTGCCCTGGAGCTATCTGTGAACTCTGGAAACAGCCCTGGTTAGTGTGGGCAGATGGAGCTAGAAACATGGAATCACACAATGGTCTGGGTTGGAAAGGACCTTAAAATCCACTCTAACCCCCCTGCCACCATAGCAATGCAAAGAAGGAAAAAAAAGAAGTTCCAACACACCCTTCTCTAGGCACAGAGCTTCAGATACTCAAAGGACTGGTTTCTCAGCTAATTAAAGCCACTCAACAGATAATGATTTTATTAGCAGCCAAACTCAACAGTGAGGATGTCATCACCAAGCAGGGAGAAGCATGAAGAAGAGTAACAATTCAGAGTAATTCTTCCATGAGACACAAAAGCCTGCTTTCCTGTCAGAAGGAACTGAGCAGAAGTAAGACAAAAGCATCTCCCTCATCTTTTTAGATCCACCATATTGTATTGCCTTAATTGCTTGCACCAGCGGCCTCACCCCAACACAAGTTTTGCTGGCTCCTCCACTGATGCTTTGGAACTCTGAAAGCAGAGGGGGACACTGGTGGGGACTGTGTCCCATTGTGCTTTAGGGCAGGGCAGGGCAGGGTGGAACCCACACGGAGCGTGGAAAATGTCCCAGTGCCAGAGCTGCCCCTTGGCCTTCCCTCATTGCCAGAGCTCCACCTTGGCTTCTCCCCAATGCCAGAGCTGCCCCTTGGCTTCTCCCCATTGCCAGAGCTGCCCCTCGGCTTCCCCCCAATGCCAGAGCCGTCCTTTGGCTTCTGCCATTGCCAGAGCTGCCCCTTGGCTTCCCTCATTGCCCAGACTCACTGACTCACTGCAGCTCTTCCCACTTTGGTCTTCCAGTGCCACAGCTGTGCTGGCCAAGCTGGGGCTGGGGCAAGGCCACCCTCCACATCCAGGCTGGATTTTGACATTGTAATCCCTGCAGAGAGGGGAACTCCTAAGCTTGGACTGTTTCTTTGAGCTTGACAGGACCCCTTGCTGTACCTGCACACCTTGCTGTACCTTGCTGTACCTGCAAATTCTAGCCTTGGAGCAGCCCAGGGTGCCCAAATTTTGGGGGTGGCAATGCCAGACAGGAGCAGATCTCTCTCCACTCCAGGTCAGATCACTTCCCCTGTCCTAATTTAGCATTACATTTGCACACTGGCTCCCCTCTCCTTTTCTGAGCTGTGCTCCTCCCTTTCCTCAACGTGTCACTCTGGCCACTGTGGCTTGTCATCTTCTGGGGGTTTGTCCCAAAAAACATCATTTGCTCACCCTGGTGCCTTTATCTGCTGCCCACAGGCCATTCCTGAAGAATGCACAGCACCCAGGAGCAGCACATCCCATTTTCCAAGGAGTGCAGGGTGCTGCACCACTGCAGTCTGTCACATCTGTGAACAGCAGCTCCAGGGATTTTTACAAAAGCCTTGCAACACAAGGCTGTGCTGGCTCCAAAGGAACCACTAGTCACACTCTAAATTCACCTTTTATTTCTTTGAAGTATTTTAATATACTGTAACACCATAGGTCACAAACAGCTCTGTACAGGCTTTATAAACCTGCTAGCTCACAGCAGGTACTTCAAATCAAGTCTCACACAGCTCCTGGATGTACCGGCACACTGCTAAAAACAAATCCCAATGCCATCATTACTTTTCATCTTCAGGCAATTCAAAGCCTCTCTTTTCCTTCCAAATAGAAGGAAATGGAAAGCAGCATTAACCTTTCCTGTTAACCCAGTGTAAGGGCTCTAGGGTGTGATCAGAAATCTTCCTAACTTCAGGAGGCTTTGCAAAAAATTCTCTGAGATATCTTTTTGCTTGAATGTTTGGGATTAGAGTCTTGTCCAAAGATTGGTGAAATTGGGGGGATTCCTTCTGTTTTCTCTGGCAGACTTTGGATCAACCTGCAAAAATCCCCACTCCATTTCCATCCCTGGCTTTCCACCTCCTCTGCTTTGCTCCATGACAGCCCTGATGCTACCAGCCTGTCCAAACCACATGGTTTTCTGATGGAGAGAGAGAGAGTCCCAACAGGATCTCTGAACTTTTCCTGATTCTTTTGGTCAGCAGCCAACAAACATTTTAAAATGTATTTAATTATGCAGAGCTAATGCCTGAGAGGTGAGATGCAGTCACAGTCTGGGATGCAGTTAACATCTGAAACAGAGGATGCTCAGATCCATTTTGGATTCCTATTTATAGATCAAGCTTAAATCTAACATAAACATGTTGATTGGCTTTAACAAGTAATGCTCTGCCCCAGGCTGGAGACATGGCCCTGTACAAGCTGTAAAGAACATATTTAAAAATAAATTCAAGCCCTCATCATCTCTTAGTTTGTCCTTGCTCGGCCAACTCTGCTAACTTGTTTTTTAAGGACTTTTTGGACTTTTAGTCAAGAAAGTGAAAGATTTCTGCAGGGGAAGAGATCTGTGAAATTATTCTAAGGCTTTGCTGTACATTTTAAGTCCTCTCCTTTCATCTGGAATTGTACATTAAATCAATCTGTTGACTCTGGCAGATTCATTGTTTCCCTAAGCAGTAAATCAAAGATGCTACATTTCATTGTTTCTCACAAGTTCTCGAAAGCACTTCTTCCTTTCCTTTGGATGAGATGCTGATGATTTTCTTTAGAGCCAGAATTAATGTCCAATATTTAGAGTCTTGTCATTCCCTTCTCTCTTTTCTCTCCCTGCCTTGAAGCAGAGTCCACCTCAGGTAATTGCAGCTTCTATTCCCAGTGTGAGTAATCTCACACACTTGCTTTCTAATTACTGCCTGCACAAAGTGAAGGCATCACAGATTCACAAATTACCTCAGCCAGGTAGTCAGCTCTCTTTACAACCACAGAATTAAAGAATCAAAAAAGAATCAAAAAATAAGTCCCAGCTCCTCAGAGGAATTACAAAGTCTATAAAAATCTCCTCTGGACAGCAAGACCAAGCCCACAGTGCCCCTCCAATGCCCCATGCCAGAGCTGGTGCTAACCTGCTGATAGTGCTGCCACAATTATGCACAGACATCTTGTAAATATGCAAGAAAATAGCTAACTATGGTTATTTATGCATGCAATAAGCAGCTATGAAAGGCGAAGGAAATGTGCAATTGCCTGTGCATGTGCTTCTGAAAGCCAGGCTTCAGTGCTCAGTGAAAAAAACAATTCTCTCTAGGCTCCTATTTATGGCAAGAGGAAATTTTCGGTGAATTAAATCAAATTAAGAGCTATCCCTTTATGCTGAACGAAATGAATAGGCAATATGTGTATATATAGATGCAGGGCACAGAAACAATCCCAGCCCAGGCCGGGGTAACCCTGTCCTTTCCCGGGCCAGCTCTAGGTGTCACTGTGGGAGCTGCATGGGATGGGAAGGGATGGGATGGGATGGGAAGGGATGGGATGCTCCCTCCCATCCAGGGATTTGTTCCATTTAAACTTCAACATCAAGAAAATGTCACCTTGGTGCTCCCTGCTCCTGGGAATTGCTTCTGTCACCGTTTTCGTTTTGAAACCCCACAGCACACGGCAGAGTGGTGTGAGTGGTGCTGGCAGATGTTGGGGATCAGCCTGGTCCCCACTCCCACCCATAAATAATGCAGGGTGAGCAGAGAAATCACAGCGTGGCCAGGAATGCTGCTCTGCTGCAGTTTGGATCTAATTACTGCAGGTATCAGGCAAATCATCTAATTCTATTAGAGCCAGAGTAAATCTGAACACTGGCAAGAAACTGGATAAAGCCATATCCCATTTCACCTAATGCATGTAACCCTGTATATTTAATTGTCCTGCTTGCTAAAAGGAGCCTGAAGACCAGGCATTATCAAGGTTTCAATTTATTTTATACTCCTAACTTGACATCTTTCCAGCTGCCTTGAAAATAAAAAAAACAACCCAGCCAAAATTGACCATAAGGAAAAAAACCACCAAGGCTAATTAGAAGATAAGCAGGAATATGCAAAGAATGTAACAGCCCTATAAATGTCCTTTGGTCAAAAATATTACTCTTTATTAATCAGCTTACATGCTTTTGAATCCCTCAGCTGCTCTGCAGTAAAGCTGAAAACTGGCAGGAATTACTTTAAAACATGTATTTTTAAACATCCAAAGAATTTGCACCATAAGAGAAGTTGCATTGGGCAAAAAGTAATTTAAAAATGTATATTAGCAATATGGTCTTTATTTCTTTGCAAGCTGAAAAAGCTCCTGGATCCCCACAGGGTTAGGCAGTGTCCAAAATTCAGATCCTGGCATCTCCATATTGGCAAAAGTCCCCTTCCATTTCCATAGACTTGATTTTAGACTGGGATTTATGTGTAGGATTCATTCTCTGTCAGTTCCCATAGTGGCCAACAACAACACCAAATACACCTCATGGTTTAATTTATGGAAATTATCCTGATTCATTGCTAGAAACCATGGCTCTGTGTTTTTGTTAGAGGCATAAGAGGCCCTACCATGCTCTTAAGAGCCTTGTTCAAACATTAACAGAGACAATCCCAAAGGGACTTGCTAATAGCAACCATAAATCTTCCTCTGTGCTCCCATGGCCCTTTCCCCCCATTGATCAGAAAGCTCCATCAAGATCAGAATTAATGGAAAGCCCATGATACATCTGTATGACACATCAGGTGAAATCATGGCCTCAGGGAAGCCAGTGGCAGAATCTTCCACTGTCGTCACCAGGGTCAGGATCTCACTCCCATTTTTTATGATAATAACTCTTTGCTGCTGGGCCAGCTGAAGCATGGAGAGGTGAAGCCACGTGCCCAGAAGCGCAAGTGAACACCAAGCCCAGAACATCAAGTGAAGAGTGAGCATTAAACTACTATTTTTTGCTTTTATCTCCCTTTTTTTCCCACCAGGTTCTGTGTCCCTAATCCACCTCAGCCACCCCCTGCTCTGCAGGATGGACAGACTCCATGGCTCGAGCACTGCTGGGTTTGCTGCAGACCTCTCCTCCTGCACAGACAGTGCAGCTGAGCTCCGGACTGCTGGGGAGGTGAGCAAAGATCAATGCTCAGCAGCCATCTGGTACAAACTGCTGCAGACAGTGCTCTTTGTGCAAACCTCAAGGGATGGCTCTGTTGGCATCACCTCTGCCCTCTGGGGACAGCCTGGGCACTGCTCTGTGTGGGGACAGGGATGGGCACAGGCTGCATCTGTCCCTCCCCAGTGGATGTGCCCAAGGAGCAATGCTCACACATGTGTTACCAAGGCCTGGCTCAATCCCCATTTGCATGTACCACTAATATTCCAAAAATTGGTGGGTATTGAGGGGTGAGGTCAGGAAAGGTGAGGGCTGTGTCTGGGAGGGAAACACCCAGGCTGTGTCCATACAGTGCCCTCATCACCCTCCAGTGCAGAACAGAGTAGCACGGGCAGTCTGCTGCTACCTGCAGTGTCACCTCTGAGCTGGGGAAGGGAAAACACATGGCTTAATGGGCAAACATGACCCCCTAATGAATCTGATCCAGACTTTTGGGGACAGAAAACCATCACAGGTTAATAAACAAGCCCATGTTTGTCCTCTTTCCTGAGCTACAAGTCCATTGGACCTTTGAAGCCAACATGTGGGATGGCACCTGGGTATCACAAATGCTTTATTCAAAGTGCTGCTCCAGCAGAGCAATGCACTGAGCACAGCCAACATTCACTGGGCTGAAGGTCTCCTGTGGCATCCTGCACTTTACACCTACTCCATCCCAACCAGCTAAATCAGCCCACTGCTGATGACCAAGTATCTCCTTTATTCCTGCTCAGCAGCTGCTGTGATTCACACAATGGAAACTGTAAACCTTCGGGCTGCTTGAGCTATTCTTGCCCAGACCATTTCCTGCTGAAGCCAGGGAAATTTTTGCCTTGCAGGGTTAAAGACCTGCTGACCTCATCCCACGGTGCCAGCACACCATCAGCACTTTCACGGAGCTCCTGCTATTTCATCCCTCTGAAAGAGACTTTGCAACTTTGTGGTCAGCACAAGTAACTCCATTTTCTGCCTGCTGGATGGAAACCACTGCCTGTGCTGCAACTGCCTGCCTCTGGAAACCACGGGGTGTGCACTCGTTTAGTATCCCAGGGCTTTCATCTGAGGTTGTGACATTTCTTCCCCTGTGCAGCTACGCAGCTAAATTCAAGAAGACACACGTTGCCATTGAACAGCCCTGCAGAAAAGCCCCGAACGGTGTCACCTTGTTTAACCAGAGCCACAGGCTGACATGGGCACATCCCAGTTGAGGATTTACAGGCAGAGCAAACAGATCTGAGCTCTGCTCATCAGGAGGCTGCCTTGCCTGGAGCTGCCTGCCATGCCTGGGGAAGCTGCAGCTCCTGCAGCCGCAGAGCCCGCGGTGCCACCGCAGCCACTGCAGGGCAGCCTCTCCTCCCCTGGCAAGGCAGGGCTGCCAGGCACAGCCTTGTAAATAATAATCAGCCAGAAATACAAATCTAGCTGCTGTCTGCTTCCTGCCATCCCCCCTTCTTTTTGTTTTTGTCAGCACATTTATTTTAAGTAACTGAAGAGGGCACTTTCAGCCTGGTCGTGACTAAAGGATCTCTGACACAAATGGGGTTTGCCTTGCTGGCAGACTTGGCAATTATTCAGGTAATACAGAGCTGGAATTATCTCTTTATGTTGAGCAGGGAAAATGAGCAGGGAAGTAGGAAAGCAAAGTTGCAGAGATGCTGGAGAGAAGCCATGCAAAATATTAATACTCAAACAGCAGTGACATCCTGAACAAAGAGCTAATAATGATTAAAAAAATAGCATATATCCAAACATACCAACACTGGTTATCTTTTGGGAGACAAGGTCTTGCAGTAAAGCCTCAATTGCAGGATTATGTCTGGAATACAGCTCGTACCGATTAATGCCAATGTGGAATTTTAACCAGTTTGGGTAGGAGTCTATGGAGGTCTCTCCAGTTGGCAAAAATTCTTCATGATGATCTTCATTTTGCCTACCACCAAAAAAAAAAAAAAAAAAAAAAAAAAAAAAGAACAAGATAAAAACCCAAAGTTGAGGAGAAAGAAATAATGTTACAGTTTGTAGCACTCATCAAGAAACAGGGCTTCAAAATGTGACAACTTGGAAAGGAAAAGCGCTGCAGAAGGGAGAGAGATTCAGGGTTCCTCCCTGCACCAGGAGCCTTCTCTCACCTGGGACCGGTGGGGAGATGGATTCCCACTTCCCCTCATTCTGCCTGGCTTAACATCCATGAAAGTCAGCAGCAAAACTCAGAGAGGCATCACTGAGAAGGGCAGAGGCCCTTCTATAGCAGAAACACAGAGCTCAAGTTTTACCTTGTGTTTACGTTGCATTATGCTGCACACAGCTTTTCCAGGTCTGACTCAAGTATCAGCATCATCCTGAACCTTTATTTAACAGGGGCATGGGGCAGAAAACCAAGATTTCAGCAGAACCTGAGCTGTGGTACCCAATGCACCCCTCCCTGCTCCTTCTTAAAGAGGGAGAATGAGAGAAACTGCATCACTGTAAACTGGCTGCTAAAGAAGAACTGGCAGATCTTGCCCCTCCCTGAGCAGTAGGAACCTACTACAGCAAAGAATTAACTAAAATGTTCACTACCTTCTGAAATTCACTTTAGTTCTGCGAACCTTGGCTGCAGCCACTAAGGAAAATATGTACAACAGGCAGCTGCATTGTGGATATCATGTTGATTTCACTCTTCGCCTACTGAACAGACTAACCCATATTTTGATCCAGAGTTCTCTGTGTTTACAGTCATCTCCAGATGTTCAGGCATTTGTGACTTTTTTTTTTTTCTTTCTTTTTCTTTCAGGGAACCCAAAACTTTCCAGGTTATTTCCTTTCACAGTCAGTTAGGATTATTAGATGGAATGGGCCTGGACAATTCACATGCTCATAGGGCGGAAATCAGAATTATTTATCCTCTCTTTCTAAAGATTTAGATCATGCTGGCTGCTCTGCAGCTTGACAGAGCTTTTGCACGGTACAATGCAGCTGTTTAAACATTACAATGTCAGTGTGTTTGGAAGAGGGTGCTGTTGTATTAGACAACCCTTTTGATTTTTCAGTCATTGAATTTCTCAGCATTTCTTAGGAGCCAACAGGGCATACGATTCACAGAGGCAACTGACTGCTTTGAAGGCTGGAGAGCAGCGGAGGTGCAGGGCACTGGGAATTAATTGAGGATGAAAAATGTAGCCCAGATCAGATCCTGAAAGTGGAAATACCTGCCAGCATGAATGCCTTTGTGGCACTCGAGCCTGCTTTGGACAAAAGTTAATGTATTACTGTCTGGCCTCACTGCTCAGCCCCTTCACCTCTGGGTGGGAGATTGGGAAGGTGCTGGAGAGGAAGGCTCGCTGTGAGCTCACCCTCTTCCTCACACCGTTCTGGCAGCACCTTCCTCGGCTGCAGCTGCAGATGGGGCAGACCGACCCCTTGGCCTCAGCGCTCCAGCACTGCCGTGCTCCCGTGTTTATTCTGTATTTTGGGGCATTTATTTTCCCAAGGAACACGACCGGGCGAGCATGTGAAGGGTTGCTCTTTTTCACGGTGACCCCGAAACGCTCCGTGCTTATTCTGTATTTTGGGGCATTTATTTTCCCAAGGAACACAACCGGGCGAGCATGTGAAGGGTTTCTCTTTTTCCTGGTGACCCCGAAACGCTCTGTGTTTATTGTATATTTCAAGGCATTTATTTTCTGAAGGAACACGACCGGGCGAGCATGTGAAGGGTTGCTCTTTTTCCCGGTGACCCCGAAACGCTCCGTGTTTATTCTGTATTTTGGGGCATTTATTTTCCCAAGGAACACGACCGGGTGAGCATGTGAACGGTTGCTCTTTTTACCGGTGACCCCAAACCCCTCTGCCCACTTCCTAAAGCCACGGCACCCTAAATCCCGCATTCCCACGGAAGGGGGACACGCCACGTCGCCACCCGCGGTCCCACTCACCACTCGGGCTGCTCGGCCACCCGCGGGTTGAACCTGATGTCGCTGTTGACATTGAAGAGGAGGTCGCCGTCGGCCAGCGGGGGCAGGGCGGCGCGGTACAGCGGGTGCTCGAAGAGCGCGGCCAGCGGGGCGGCGTTGCCGGCGGGGGGCGGCGGGCGCGGCGCCCCGGGGCCGATCAAGCGCCGCGCCCTCCCCGCCGCCGCGCCCCCGCCGCCCGCGCCGCCCGCGCCGCCCGCCGCCCGCTCCGCCGCCGCCTCCCGCGACTGCGACGAGAGGTTGGAGGCCGGCTCGGCGCTGAAGTCCTGCAGGATCCGCAGCGTGTGCTTGCTGGGCCAGCGCGGCGCGGCGGCGCGGGGCGGCGCGGCGGCGGGCGGCGGGCAGGAGCAGCCCGGGCGGCTCTCGGGGCCGCGGCGCTCCAGGCGCGGCAGCAGGTCGATCATGATGTGCATGGTGCAGGCGACGAGGAAAACCATCAGGATGAGCACCCGGAACTTGCGGACCAGGAGCATTTTCATGGCCGGGGCGGCTGATGAATTACCGGGGGAGGGGGAGGGAGAGGAGGCGGCGGACAGAGCCCCCCCGGGTCGGGAAGCGAGCGATCAAGTCAATAAAGTTACCTCCATAGGCGCCGGGAAATAAACAGGCTAAACCCGATAGGTCCTCATGTCTCAGTATCATCAAGAACTTGGGAGGGGGGAGGGAAAAAAAAAATAAAAGAGAAAAAAAAAATTAAAAAAAAAAAGGAGCTCCGGACCGAGCCTTTAAAATCAACAGGAAAACAATGCCAGCGGCATGGTAATATAGAAAGCCATCTGTTCACGATTTCTCCCTCTTTTTATTACAGGGATCACAACAAACAGGGAAAACTGGCTCTCGGAGAGAAACCGGCATCAGACACAGTGGCCGATTAAATAAATTTTTTTAAAAAATGGGGAGGAGGAAGGGGAAAAGAAAAATATTAAGAAAACCTGTGCAGAAAGGCGACAGAAGAAAAAAAATCATCCATAATATTTGGCTGTGCTGGAAACGCTGACTCCTTTCCCTTGGATTTGAGCAGTGATGCAGCAGAAGCGCTCCCCGCTCGCTCTCGCTCCCTCTCTTCTCTCAGACTCTTTAAGAACATTGGCTGGAAAATCATTTTCTTAGAGCGGTTCCAGTTTCTTCATCCATCGCGTCCAGTGCTTGGGAGAGATTAGTAAGTTCAACTGAGATCGAGTCTGGGTGGCTGCTGTATCCGAGCTGGGCTTGTGCTTTGGCTTGGGTTGGTTTTTTTTGGCTGCAAAACTGTCTGATGGCACAACTGCAACATAAAGGTTAAATATGGCACAGGAAAAAAAAAAAAGAGGGGGGAGAAGGAAGGATTAGAGGAAAGAAACTAATATAAATCAGTAGAGGTTCTTTTTAGCGAAGAGGTCTTTGATCTCTGCTGGGTCTTACAGCTCTTTCTTTTAAAGAGAGAGAGAATGGAAGAGAGAAGGGGGGAGAGAAGGAAAAGGGGGGAGAGATCTTTGGCAGGTGCAGAGTGAAAACCTCTTTCAGCTACACTGAATTCTGGAGACTGGTTGGACTAGTAGCTCTGCAGCTCCAGCTTTCAGTGGGTGTGTTAAATATTATGAGCGAGCCATGATTCCTGCCTTCCTCACGTCATAGTTAGGAGATTGGCTAAATAAACGCTACAGTGATAGTAACAGGAAAACCTCAACCAAAAGAGGGTTTTTTTCCCTCCTCTCCTCCCTCCTTCCAACCCCCCCCCCCCCTCCTTTTCATTCTACTGCAGCTCCAGCTGGGGCAAGGAGAGGGCGTCTGTTCCACAAAGGTTTGGGGGAAAAAAAAATAAAAATATAAACGCGAAAAGGAGAGAAGCGGCAGAGGAGAGTGGGATCGGCAGGAAGAGCAGAGCGGAGCAGCAGCGCGGTGTGTGTGTGTGTGTGTGTGTGCGTGTGTGTGTGTGTGTGTGCGTGTGCCCGGGCTGGCATCGCCAGTGGCGCATTCATTGCCCGCTGCGCTCTGCCCCGCCCGGCAAGGGCAGCCCGGGCAGCCGCTCCGCTGCCCCTGTGCCCACCCCGAGCTCCCCCAAGCGGGGGTGATAACCCGGCAGCGAGCTGCCCTCCCTCCTGCTGGCTCCGTGCCCGGTGGCACAGCGGGCTGATGGAAGGGTGGCCATGGGGCCAGCACAGCCCCGAGAGTGATGCTGGCAGCGCTCCGACAGCGAGGCACTCTGGAGGAAGGAACGAGCTGTTCCTGCTTCTTCAGGTGATCAGGCAGGGATGATCAGCACTGGCAGAATCGGGCAGGAACTCGGATTTCTGTCTTTGGCCAGCGTTGCCCTGGATTCTGTGGTCCATAGCAGGGCTCCAACAGCTGCTGAGTTGGGCTGTAGGACTGAGAAAGATGAAGTGCATACCCCGACCCACCACCACCTTTCCACAGAACCATCTCAATGCTGAATGTGGCAGTCCATTTTTCCCTGAATTAAACCACATCAGAGTATTTCCTTTCCTCAAAAACTCTTTCCTTACCCACCAGGCTCCATCCAGCACTGTTCCCTTACTGGCACTTCTGCAGAGCCCCGTGCTTTGCACTCCTCTGGAGCACATCCATGCAGTGTTGGTGTCACCCTGTATTGCACGAGGGAAATCACTGGCTTTCCAGCAGGAAAAAACAGATTGATGAACCAAAAAAAAAAACCTCAAAAAAACCCGCAAAAAACCCAAAAAACAAAACACCTAACAGGATCATGATCCTATAGACTTCTCTGCACCTTTGTGGAGAGACAAAACTTGCTGTCCTAGAGAGACCTGGTGGTCCCAGGGTTCAGAGGTACAACTGGACCCTTCAAGTGCAGGTGTACTCAGCCACAGAAACACATTTTGCTACAAAGCCAGAAGCAAGGCTTTCTGTCTTTTCCCACCTTTTTTCACCAAGGTCAGCTTGGATAAAGGCTGTCTGGACATTGACTATGTGGCTGCTGGAGGAGGGCTGCAGAAGCCACCGAGGGGTGAGTTCAGGGTAAGTGGTTCCCTGTGTATCATTTCAGTTGCACTCTGCTGTGGTTTTTTAAGGAGTTCTGGGGGAGCTGTTTGCAGCACTTCAAGTGAGGATAGATAAAAAAACACATTATCTCCTTTAGCAAAGCACAGTAGAATTTGTAAGTTGCAAATTTTGGCTACATTTTCTTAGTGTTGGCTCTACTAAAACTAAGGCCTGTGGTGTTAGATGAGGGTGAAACTGAGCAGCTCTGAGGGGAAAGTTGCAAATTACTTAAATGAGTTCTTTAAGTTAAAGTTGTTTGAATTTACTTTACAGTAAAAGAACATTGTGTCAAACATGTTGTAACTCCTTGTGTAAGAGCTTTGTAATGAACGGGAGACTGGCTTTGAAATATAATGCAAACAACTAGATGTAGTTAATTACATGACTTTCAAGGGGTGAAAATGACAATACTGTGAAAAAGTAACTAATTCCTCTAAACAACATGTTTTTATTTTCATCAGTGTGACCTTTAGTGCACATTGGCTATTTAGTTAAGTATGGTTTAATCTAAATTGTGTCTGCCTGTAAACTGAATCTCCCTGTCTTCCACAAGCTGTTTATTCCTTGAGCCTTTTCAACACTTGAGTTTTATCTCAGGATGTGAAATTGATAGACGTACTGTATTCTCTTCTGTAACTGGCCTCTGTGGACAAGTTTTGACTGGACCAAAGTGCCTCAGAGAAGTGAATAAAAGAGTAAAAGAGCTGTCTTATGTCTCTGTATTTGTTTCTCAACTTTAGTATCTACAAATGCCTTCAACCACTAATGGGTCATCTGTGAAATGAGATGTACTGGCCAGCTGGTGAACTCTGGCAGAGAGTGAGCCTGTAGCTTTGCTTTGGATGATGGGAAATGCATATTTCCTTCTTTCCTGAGCCTTTTTCTCCCTGTCCTGAAGGCTGGTTATGGTCAGCAGCAGCAGTGTGTTCCAGCCCCTCTGTGCCTCTCAGCTGTGCTGATTGGTGCAGCCCAGGGGATGCAGCCGGAGCTCAGCTGGCTCTTCCCAAACCCTTCCCAAACCATCACACAAGGAGGATGCCAGCCCACTTGTTTCTTACAGACCTTTCCCATGTACAAGAGCACAGCCCTGCTCCTGTCCTGGGGCCACTGTGCCCTCTCACCTCTCTAAATCATCAGTCTGGGGACACAGAATTAGTGCCAAGGTCACATTTGCATTCCATGGGGCTGGCAGAGAGCCTGGGGTTCTGGCCAGGGGGATGGGAACTGAAGCACCTGCTGGCTTGGGAGGGCTGAGGTGGCTGTGGTCAGGAAGCCACGGATTGTTGGTGTGTGAAACCACTGGGAGAAGTCAGGAGTGGGCTGCAGGTCAGGACAGCCTGGAAATTGGGTGGCAGGCAGGCTCAGGGACCAGGTCTGAGGTTTTCCAAGGCTGGTGCAGCCTCCCAGGACAACCTCTTTGCTGGGCAAGTGTGGGCTTGGTGCAGGAGAGTTTGTGCTTGTGCTGGGATCTGGGGGTTCAGTGATCCACCCCTGCTAGGGAAGGGTTCCCTTTTTCTGCTGCAAGGGAAGAAACGGGGATTTGTGTCCCTACATCCCTGCCCAGGCCCTGGGCCCTTCCCTTCCAGTGCAAGTGCAATGTTTGCATGCAAGTTATCTCCTCTGGCTTCAAATATTTGCCTTCAAGACTGATAAAACCCCCAAAATTTTTGGTAACTGCTGACTATTGTTCAAACAGGCTTTTAAGTACCAAACTTGTATGCATGGAACCACAGGTTCTTTGTGATCATGCCTGATTTGGGCAGCTGTTAGTTAGAAGTAGAAGATAGTTATCATTTAATTTTCCAAATTAACTTGGTCTTAGTAAGGAATATTTCAATATTTCTCCTTCACTAAACTCTACACTGGAGTTCATATGGAATTCCAGTATGTGGCAAAGAGCTTTCTATTTCTGCTGTGCTATGTGTTGGACCAGCATTACCCCTATAATTTCTGGCATTATGTAAACAAGAAAATAGTAAGTTCCTAATGGAATATTATGACATCAATAAGTCATTGCATACAGCTCATTTCAATAATATAAATTAAATCAAGTCATTCACATCAACTCTTTATTTTATTTTTGGTCATTGAATTAAAATCTTTCTTTTATTGAAGTACTTGAATGTTATTGGGAATTTCACATTGAATTGCTACAATCACAAGCCAGGATTGCTTTTGATCTAACAAGCTCCTTAATTTGGTATTACAGATTGGCATTCAGCACTTCTTTGCATGTTCTACCCTTGCTTTTATTTGATAATACAATCAAGAATTCAGGAGGGGTTACTGTTGTATATCCTGGCATTTTTTCATTGTTCTGTGCATGAATTAATACCTTATCTGCTGCTGAAATCTGGGTAGATGTTTATTTTCCCCATTTTTGCCTGCCTGCTGAGCAGTGACAATGGTCAGTGTACGTGACAGTGTGTTCAGGTGAATAAATGAAGCGTGGTTTGGGGTGAGCAAACATCCCCAGCTATTATTTTCTGCTATAACGGTTTACAGCCTTCTGATGTAAAGCCTGAATGCAGCAGGGCAAGCTGTAAGTCAGGCCTGATTGCACATTTTGAATCAGTGTAATATTTTTATTGTTACTTCTAATGGCAAAATGGATTTTCCTTCCTGAGAGCCTCTGTCTGTGATGCTGGAAGTCCTGAGGGCATCACAAGCCTTGCCTGCCCCTGTGGCCTTGCTGCCCAGGGTGCTCTTCCTGCTCTCCCTCTCCTTCCTCCCTCTGAAGATTCATGTGCTGACCTAATTTATTGGTGCTGTGCCTTATAAACACAGATTACACTGGCACTCTGATGGGTACTGCATATTAACCTCCCACACTGCCAAAATCACTTTTATTGCTGAGGAATACACTTGGTGCTGAACAGGAGGTGGTTCCATAAGCTTGATTTCCCTGTCAGCTTTTTCTGTGTATGAGGAATCAGCAGCACACGGTTCAAGCGGTGTGCTGATATTTTTTCAATAATGCATACTAATGTTCTTTTGGCTGCCTTCTGGCCCAGGGTTTTGTTAGGTATTTGGTACTTTTTTGGAATGAATTTTGAGCAAATCTCCACTCCCAAATCATGTGGTCACCATGGTGGCTTCGCTAAGGATGCCTGAAGGGGCACTGAGCAGCAAGCTGGAGCTCAACAGAGCTGAAAGGAGGGACTGGTCCTGTCACATCCTCAGGATAAAGGGGGGCTCTGTGTGGAAATGCACCACCAGCCTCAAGTGATTTCAGAAAGCCAGAGATTCTAGCTCCAACCTTTTCCTTTTGAGTATTCCCATTATTTAATTTGGGATGCAATATTCTGGATGATCTAAACCCCCAGGGATTTCTTGATCAGCCTGCTGGAAGCACTGAGCTGGTTATTCCATCAAGGCACTGGAACAGGAGGGTTTTTTTCCCTGCCTGTTTGTTACTCCTCAGCTGTTGCTGCTGCAGATCAAGGGCTGGCTCCTCAGCTGGTATCAGCTGGCCCTGGTTTCAATGAAATGTCATCTAATTATATCAGCTGAGGATCTGGGCCACAATGCTTAATTCTTCCACTGTTTGGAACAAAGAGCTTCCTGGCCATGCAAGAACAAAATTCTTGTTGTTGCTGGAGTGATGGGGTTGGGCCTGTGGAGGGATCACATTTGCTGCAGGCATTCAAGTGGAGTAGTGATCCTGCAT